GTTTAAAACGTGAATTTTCAGAATTTTAAATTTTGTAATTATCGATAATACGCGTAATTGGTGGTATTTTCATTCGGTGGTATTTTCATTCGCGATAAATGGACGAAGACGAGAACGAAATGTTATCGCGAGCTACCATCGCTATAAGAAACGCCAAACTAAAAACTCTGCAGCGCCAGCAGCAGCGAGCGCAGAGAGCGGAGCGACGACAAATTAGACGAGAACTGAAGCAACAGAAACAGCAGCTGAAGGAGGAGAAGCAACAGCAAAAGCAGCAGCTGAAAGAGCAGAAGCAGCTGCAGAAGCAGCAGCTGAAGGAGCAGAAGCAGCAGCTGAAGGAGCAAAAGCAGCAGCAAAAGCTGCAGCTAAAGCAGCAGAAGCAACAAGAGAAAGAGCAACAAAAGCAAGAGAAGCAGCAACAGAAGCAACAGCAGGCGCAACAGAAGCAGATAGAGCAACAGAATCAGCAGGCACAACAGATTCAGCAGCCGCAACAGAAGCAGCAGCCGCAGCAGAATCAGCAGCCGCATCTGAAGCAGCAGCCGCAGCAGAATCAGCAGCCGCAACTGAAGCAGCAGCCGCAACTGAAGCAGCAGCCGCAACAGAATCAGCAGCCGCAACTGAAGCAGCAACAGCCCAAACCCCCTACACTGCTAAAGAGTGTAAACAAATCAGCTGCACAGCGTAAAAGAAACACAGCTCGCAAAATGGAGGAGCAGTCGGACGATGAGAACTTTGAGCCAAAGACTAAGAAGATCAAGCGCGATTGGCTCAACAGCTATTGCTATTCAAACAAGGCCATGGGCATGATGAAGAAAATGGGCTACGAGGATGACAAGGGTCTGGGTAAGAGCAACCAGGGTCGCCTCGAGCCCGTAATTGCCGTCCAGCAGGATGGGCGTCGTGGCTTTGGCCTGAAGCTGAATACCGTCCATTGGTCGGCGGGAAAATGGGATCCGAGTCTGGAGGACCTGGAAATACCGGAACCGCTGATTTGGCTTAAGCAGGAGGGCAACAATTGTGGCGCCTACACGCTGGAGCAGCTGATGATGCAAATGGTGACCGGCCCGCGCAAGCTCACCATCGACGACGAGACCCAATTCTGTGATCCCGAGATCTTGAAGCACATACTTAGTGCAAAAACAGTTTTTGACAGCTTGAACGATACTGAGAAGCGTCGGGCACGCTCTCGCTGCAATCCGTTCGAGACAATTCGCTGCTCCATCTTTCTAAATCGTGCCGCTGTCAAGATGGCCAACATAGACTCGTTGTGCCAATACATGTTCACCGATCCGCGGGACAAGAATGGCCAATCGTTGATCGGTCCGAACGAGCTGCTCTACTTTGCGGATATGTGCGCGGGTAAAGATCAGATCTCAGATCACAGATTTCTTTCTCTATATATGCTTTAATCTATGTTTCTGTCTATGCAGGACCTGGCGGCTTCTCCGAGTACGTGCTCTACCGCAAGTCTTGGGAGGCGCGCGGCTTTGGGTTCACGCTGCGCGGCTCAAATGACTTCAAGCTGGAAAAGTTTTTCGCCGCCTCGCCGGAGTCGTTCGACACATTCTACGGCGTCAAGGACGACGGCGACATATTCAACACAAGCAATCAGAACTCCCTGAACGACTACATACGCAAGCACACACCGCAAGGCGTCCACTTCGCCATGGCCGACGGCGGCTTCTCGGTGGAGGGGCAGGAGAACATCCAGGAGATCCTCTCCAAGCAGCTGTATCTCTGCCAATTCAATACGGCCCTGAAGATCTTGCGCGTCGGCGGCAGCTTTGTGTGCAAGCTGTTCGACCTGTTCACGCCATTCAGCGTCAGCCTCGTCTACCTGATGTATAAGTGCTTCCAGCAGATAGCCATACTTAAGCCGAACAGCAGCCGTCCGGCCAACTCGGAGCGCTACATCATTTGCAAGTACAAGCTGCCGGACACGGAGGCCATCATTGGCTACCTGGACCACGTGAATGAGGTGCTGAATGTGGCGAACGGACAGAAGCACAAGGAGGATATTGTGGACGTGGTTGAGCTGTTCAATCACAACGAGATGGTGCAGGACGTGCACTTCATGGAGTACATTATTGATTCGAACAATGTCATTGGGAGGAAGCAGATCGTCGGGCTGCGCAAGATAGCGGCATTTGCACAGAACCCGGAGCTAAAGGAGGCCCGCCAGTCGGAGGTGCGCCAGGAGTGCCTCAAGTGCTGGGGACTGCCCGACAAGCTGCGCCAGGCGCCGGAGGTGAAGCCAACGGAGCGCCTGCTCGAGGAGCTGCTTTGCGACTGGGCCTTCGATCGCAAGTGGATGAATATGCCAGCCAAGGAGCTGAAGTCCGAGAAGCAGCTGCACAGCGAGATGCTGAACGTGAGCGACTGGCACTTCATGCCCATTGGACGCGGCGAGAACAACATCAACGGCTGCACCCTCTTCCTGTGCAAGTCGCGCGGCAATCTGTGGCGCTACACGGACCACCGCAAGTGGGAGCAGGTCGAGTCCACCTTCAATATCCAGCCACGCACCGTATTCTTCGGCGAGATCGCGTTCGAGTACACCGGCGAGGCGCGCACTTCGCAGAGCGTCTCGGCGCTCCACATCATGGATGCCATCTGCTTGGGCGGCATCGATATACGGCGGCGCCCGTTCCTCGAGCGCGTCAGCATGTGTGAGAAGTTTGCGCGCAGCTTGAACAAGCCGTACAAGCAGGAGCGTACGTGCGGCACCATCCGTTGCAAGCCGCTCTTCCGGCTCCAGGACATGGATAAATTCTTCGGCCAGATGCGTCCGTACACGCTCAAGGACAACTCGCAGCGCCTGGGCTTCATGTTCGACGATCACAAGTTCTTCGTGCCCGGCGGCGTCCTACTCTTCTGCGAGCTGACGGTCAGCTATGTGACCGCCTATTCGCGGTCTCACCATCAGATATACTACTTCAATACCAGCACGAACGAGTCGCTGTTCAAGGATCAAATCAATCCTTCGCGCCTTAATGAGATCTTTTCGTCGTTCCGCCACAGCTACATGAGGCGCAAACTGTGGAAGTGGACGAGCACACTGCAGGTGGACCCATGCGCCACCGAAGAGCATCCAAATATTCTGTATCGCAGCAATTTCGAGCACTTTATCCGTGAGAAGCTAATGCCACCCCACCACAATTCCAATCCTAATGCTAATGCAAATCCCAACACTAATCCTAATACCAATGAAAATCACAATCAACTAAGAAGCTAAGCTCGGATTTCGTGGAGTGAATTCGATTTTAAATATTTTTTTTTTTTTTTTCAACGGCAAACGAAATAACGATAATATTGTGTGTTTGAATGTTATATACTTACACATGCATACATATGTAAACATACATATACATACATATACACAAATATGTAAACATACATATGCATACATATGTAAAACAATACATATGTTAACATACACATACATACTTATGTTAACATATATATACATACATATGTAAGCATACATATACATACAACTGTGAACATACATATGCATACATATGTTAACATACATATGTTAACATACACATACATACTTATGTTAACATATATATACATACATATGTAAGCATACATATACATACAACTGTTAACATACATATGCATACATATGTTAACATACATATGTTAACATACATATACATACACATGTTAACATATATATACCTATATATGTTAACATACATATACATACATATGTTAACATACATTTACATACAAATGTTAACATACATATACATACATATGTTAACATATATATACATACATATGTAAGCATAAATATACATACATATGTTAACATACATTTACATACAACTGTTAACATACATATGCATACATATGTTAACATACATATGTTAACATACATATACATACACATGTTAACATATATATACATTTACATACAAATGTTAACATACATATACATATGTATGTAAACATACATATACATACATATGCTAACATACATTTACATAAAAATGTTAACATACATTTACATACATATGTTAACATATATATACATACATATGTAAGCATACACATACATACATATGTTAACACACAATACATATGTAAACATACATATGTTAACACACATTTACATACATATACATACATATGTAGAACTATTTTGGATCTAGACAATTTGCATAGGGTTTAATCAAAATTGTAATTATTATCAATTTACTTGTTTTGCAAGAGTATTTGAATTGTTATACGTTTTAACGAAGAATTAAGTTCAGGCAATTTTTATAAATCTATTTGTAATATCACTAACCACAATAATATGACTATGGTTAGTGGTAATATCCAATGGCTGGACCCATCTTAAAAAGAAGATTGAAGAAACAAAAAAATAAAACATACACACACAGCTACAGACATAGCAGAAATCAATATTAAAATATAAATTATTGACGTCAACCAAAGATTGTTTTTTATTTAAGGTCTTTAATTATTTTTTTTCGCGCATATCTCGGAATATCTGGGGAATTTCCCGTTTTCTGGTGTGCGATTTGCAGAGCTGCCGGCTCAGTTAGACATATCGATATCTAGCTATCGATTGGCGACTAAGTTATTGCGCACAATGGTCGTGATAGCTGGCTTCACAAATGCGAGAGAGATAGGGAGAGTGATGGAAGGAGATCTCTGCAGATATATTGAAATATAATTTTCTAATGATCTATAGAGCAGCAATTTTGGTTGCATAAGCTTAACGAAGCTAATCAGCTTATTAATATGATCAGATATAAGTATATGATGTATGCTTGTAACTTACAAGTTGTAAGTACTTAGCGTGATCGGCGTTTGTTTATATTACAAAGAAGAACGCTGAATCGGCTGAGCCGAGCCTGACTAAGTAATTTTCCATTATTTACCATTTGATGTGTCTAGCTTCATATACATACATATGTATATTCTGCCACTCAGTCGTTAGTTTTGCGATAAATGTGAAGGAAGAAAGCTATGTATGATAATTTTCTCTACACTTCAATCAGCCGTGTTGAATTCATAATATACAAGTGACTCAGAATCATCTTCATAATATTCTATGTGGATATCAGAGGAGTATATCTACCTCAACAACATCTAGAGCAGGTAACCCACTCCCGCTATATCACTAGAGCTCGAACTTTTCATAGATCTTCGCCAGCTTTCTGTAAGTATGAATAAAAATCAATTGCAATCATATAACAAACACACACATATACAAACTATTCACATTTATTGTTATATAGAAATGCTAAATGCTGGTATCTAAGCTACAGTTGTTTACTTTAATAGCTTCAGATGCTTCACATATTTGTGTACCACATCCTTGACATAAGGCTTGATTGCTACGCAGGTCGGTATATTCTCTGGCTGTTCGATCCAGAGTTTGTGCTTGATCTCGTTCTCTTTTAGCTTTTCGCTTAGCTTTAGTAGCGCCGCCTCATCCTTGGCCTCCAGCACCACTTTGTGCATGTTGTCCAGATCCTTCAGATATGCCTGCGTCTCCTCGTCGTCAGCGTGGAGGCTCATGACAGCGGCCGTTGCATGGCAACATTGCGCAATTACCGCACCCAGTGGCCAGTTGAGGGTGCTGCGCAAGTCACTACGCACCACAATATATTGGACTATGTTGGCCATTAGAGTGAAAGTCCTTTCAGCAATGCGCTTAGCCACCAGATTCTGTTTACATATAGTTCAAGGCGTGTATGCTGTTCAATTGTGGCGGTCGGCTAGGCAAAATTTGTTGGAGCACACAGGCTGCACAGCTGTTTTGCTGGTGTCGGAAGCAGCGTATCTATTATGAACAGCTGATGAATCGGAAATTGGGGTGACCACATGCATGTTATACGGCTGATTTTCGAAATGCTTATGCCAATTGTGAATACCCGCGTTTGGGCTGCCCACACTTGTTGCTACGGCCAAAAAATGTGGGCTGCCTATTAAGTGCTGTTCATTTGTGAATTGCCTGGGAACAGTTTGAAGTGCATTAAATTACTTGCGAATAATGCAATAATATACTTACTAGACTTCTTACTACGGAAAACAAGAGCACAATCATTTTCTTCCAGAAATGCCATCATGAATTGCGCAGGTTTATAAAAGCCAATCAGGTGAACTATGTGTATCAATTGTGAACAGTAGCCCATTAGGAAGCCCACATTCGTTGGCAAAATACAAACTGTGGGCTGCCCAGTGGGCACTATTCATATTTGAATTTCCCGCCAACCAATTGACAATTAACTTGGACTTGATAATAAATTCAATGAAAAATTGTCTCTGTACATAGCATATTATTATTTTTAAAATAGTTGCTCCATTTTGCTAATTTCTTTCAAATTAAAATTTTCTTTCTTGATTAGTTACGTCAAATAGATTTAAAGCAATTCGTATTTCAGATTAAATATACATCTGCATATATGTTTATCAATCTCTACATTTATGTTGTGTCAAATTTTAATTGAATTGTTGTCTGCATTTTTGGTTTGAAGTCGCTGCGACTTTATTCTGACTTGTCAAAAACAGAATATTGCAATTTGTATTTCCTCTTTCGTTTTTGCAACGATTTGCAGCTCAATTAATCACACAAAAGGGGAATGTGCAAGTACGCGAGGGTCGCTCATTTAGTAGTCAAATGCTGAATGCACCCTGTCTGTGGATGAGAAAAAGGCTTAAGGAAATAAATGTATATCAAAGGACTTTCTATAATAAGGAGAATTACGTTGTCGATATAAATATATGGGGCCAGCTTGACTTGACGCATAGTAAATTGAAACTTTTTCTTAAACTAGATTAAACTAGCATTTGCCGATAGCTTACTATTGAGCCACCCTCGCTATGTCGTTGGGTCAGCGATGTTTTTGTTTTGTGATTCGACAGAGAGACAAACGAATAGTTGCGAAATGTTGCAATCACAGCTGAGAGAAGAGACGAGAGGAGACTGCTGGGGAGAGAGGTGAGTGGTGCAGAGGCGTGGCAGTGACATGCGTCCGTAATTAACGTCCCATTTTGGGTTAGATTATCCATGAATAATTGGAAATGACGCTGGTCGCGCCTGGTTCGACCAGCCCAACGTCCATGGACGCGGACACGGACGCGGACACGGACACGGACGATCCGGCATAGCGAGTGGAGCCAACTGCAGCAGGAGCAGCGCAGATTGATGATGGCCGAATAGTTGCTGCTGCCATTGAGTGTCTGCAGGCCAGCCAGGCTATGGCAGTCGGCTGGCACCGGCCACGGCAGCCGAAAACTTTGCTAATTGCTTTTTGGCCACATTGGCCAAGGCGCTGCCAACGACAGCCGACAGCCGACGGCAGCGACGGGCCAACACAGTTATGGCAGCAACAGCAATGCCATTTGCAACCCATCCATGTTTGGCCAACGAGCCAAGGATCTATTGCATTATGATACCCTGCACACCACATGTGCATAAAGGGCATGCTGTTTCCATCGCTCATTATGAAACGTGCTTATATGTCATTAAAAATATGATATGCTTAGCTCATAGATCGCTCATGTTACTTTAGGTCTGTTATGCATGCTGAATAATACCCTGTAAATTTTGGTATTTCTGCTAAGTCATTGAATTGCATGCCATTTACATTCGACTTGAACAAATGGTTTTTATAGTGCATTGAGATACCCTGTACACCATCTAGATAGTGGGTATGCTGTTTCGAATGCTCATTATGGCGTATGCCTGTGTGTATATATTTAGTGTATAATTTGTTGTTTAACTAACAAAACGCTTACTATACTCCGTTCATTTTCTGAATACCCTGTAAGTCATCTTTCATATAGATATATAATATATATAATATAGATTCTTTGTTAAAATTAAAGACTTGCCATACAAATACAGGGTAACAGCAAACACTTAAGTCGTGGCATTTCTTACTGAGATAACGAATAGTTCATGAACCGGTTCGAGCTTGGAACGCTCAAATGCTCCAAGTCGAACTGGAAGAAGCAGAAAGAAACCAAGTAAAGCTGAGTGAAAATACGTTTTAATGCAGTCAAATGTGACTTTAGCTAGTTAGTTAGGCAATAGATAAGCTCTTTGTACGTATAGGGTATTGATTAGTTGAGTTAGCTTCAGCTTTGCACAGGTTTAAGCTCATTTATCTCTGTTATAGCTGCGCCTTTTTGTGCCTTGGCCTACAAATCGTCGACTCAGCATGAAATTAATTACGCAGACAAATGCAAAGATATGTATATAGTATATATATGTATATAGAGGTAGAGGTAGAGGTAGAGTCACTAGAGGAGTGGGTGCTACAATTTGAATGGATAGTTTCTCGCACTTTGGCATGCCATAAATTTAGCACTCGCTTCTCAATTGTCAAAACAAATTTGCCAAATGTGCCATTCATTCGTTATGAGATTAGGGCCAGCCCCAGCCCCAGCCCCAGCCCCTGCCCCAACCCCAACCCCAACTCACATTCACATATTCACATGCTCATTCATATCCTTATTCACATCTTCAGGCAGCCTCAGCTGCTCCCTCGGGATGCAGTAGCAGCTGCTGCGGGCTCTCTCTCTAGGCTAGGGCGGCGGCTAGGGGCGTGGGGCACAGCTTGGGGCTTTGGTTCAGTGACCGCTGTCCATGGCAAATGCAAATGTCATTTTGTGGCCATTCGTATGAATAAACGAAATTAAACGCAAGGAATGACCCAAAAAAAAAAAAAAAAAAGAAAAGAAAAATAAGAGTCAACGGAAAAGAGTTTGAATGGCAGCACAACTAGCCATCGACTGTCACGCCCACACCCACACGCCCTCTCGCCGCCCACTTGGGAGCAGGCATCAAAGCCCAACGTCAATGGGAGAGGAAGCAAAGAAAGCAGCGTTTGCAAATTGAATCGAATTTGAATCGAGCCTCGGCTCGAACCATTAATCAAAATCTTATGAGTGCGCAGCGAGCAACCCTCATCTTAGTGGTAAATACCTACATATATACCTACATCTATATATGTGTATGTATATACATAAGATATCTGTGCAGATTCTAACTATGCGCATTGTTCTATATTTTGCACAATTCATAATTGAGTTTGGTGTTTGAGGTGAAGTTCGAGCTGATTGCCTCCATTGAGATCCTGCTGGGGTCTCGGCTAGCTGAGAGTGACTAGAAATTCCGATTTGCACTTACCACAAAGATAGCAGAAATTCTAGGTATAGCTCTAGCTAGCTAGGTATAGCTCTCTGAGCGCGAATGGTTTAGTTTGTTTGGATCATAAGATTAAGGGATGGAGAAAATAGGGGCTAAGAGCGATAGAGGGGTATTGAACATAGTAGAAATAGAGAGAGAGAGAGAGAGAGAGAGAGAGAGAGAGAGGATAAGAAAGACAGAGTGAGAAAGTGAGAAAGGCTGACAGAGTGATAGAGAGAGAGAGAGGGGAGAGTGAGAGAGAGTGAGGAAATTAGTTATAATGAGGTATAATTAAGAGATAGAGAGAAATAGAGTGAAAGGGAGAGAAAAGAAGAGATAATGAGGGATAATTACAGACCGTTTGAATAAGAGACAGAGAGAGAGAGAGAGAGGGAGAGTGAGAGAGAGAGAGAAAATAGTGACAATTAAGAAGATAGACAGAATTAATGATATTTGAATAAAAGATAGAGATAAAAGAGAATCAAATGCAGAAAAATAATTCAATGATAGAGAAGGGTACAAAAGAGAGAGGGAGAAAGAAAGAGAGAGAGAGAGAGAGAAGGATAGTACGAATGAGAGAGAGAGAAAAAGAAATGATAATGAGAGATAATTAAAGTATATTTCAGTAAGAAACAGAGTTACCAGAGAAACAAATACAGAAAATAGAATGCAAAGGAAGAGAAAAAGAGGAGAAAAGGGAAGGGGGAAGATAGAGATAGAGAGAGAGAGAGTGAATGAAGAGCGAGCGAAATTAGGTAGATGAGTTAGAGGCATCATAGGAGCGACTTATAGATAGATACATTTACCGATTAGATATGCAATACATACATATATATACATATATATAAGTTAAGACTTTTGATAATCTAAGGAGGCTGGAGAGTCCAGTCAGACATTCAAGGGGAGAACCTAACCAGTTGAACAGATTTAGTTCAGTTTATATTCGGACTAGAGAGAGTTTAGACCTATTGTTCCAAATTGTATAAAATATATTATTTCATTGAACACAAAGTTGTTATATATTCACAAGAACCCAACACAGCGTCCCCAATCACTAGTACTCTAGTGTGGGAGCGCTTAACTTATATATATACGTTAGATAGAGCAAGGCGTAAATGGATTAGAGATGCATGGAAATCTTAAAAGTGATGCAAAACTGAATGGATAAACAGTTGGTCAGTTGTAATACAGTTACTATTTAAAGACAGATAGTTTATCTAGTTGCTATAGATATTTAGCCAACTAATTGCAGAGGTCAGCCACGCGCTAAATGCTATTGGGATGGGGATGGGGATGGGGATTGGGTTGGGGTTTGGGTTTGGGTTTGTGATGGGCTTCGCCAGAGTCAAGTGGATTGGGCTCATTTGGCTGTGGGGTAAGGACGTGCAGTCAGAACGTATTAAGAGTGCTGCCAGAGCGGCGACAAGTTGTCACAGATGGAAGCGATATTAAGGGAGTTTCAGATGGTTGCGTGGGGGGCGGGTTGGAGTTGTAGGGGTTGGGCGGGGCCACATTCGATTAGCGTGTGGTGAAACTCGATGAGTTTTATTAGTAAATAATGGCGAATCATTTGCCAGTTGACACTCGTTGAATGGTGGCCGAAACCGTTAGAGCTGGATATAAGCCCACATATCCAGGGAGCTCGACCTGCACAAAGGACTAAAGGACAAG